ACCACACTCTTCAGACTGTACGCGGAATTGCTTCCACTTGACGCCTGTCTTCTGTGTGGTCGTGGTATTGGTGGAGGCGAGCCCTACAGTGCGAAGATTTTAAAGCGGGCTTTACCACTGTCAAAGTGTTAGTGTCTCTTTGCTCACGGCACGGCTCTATACTATTTCTTCTCTATCTCTACTACAATAAAGCGTAAACGCACACTACTTTGTGGCATAAGGTTTCAGCAAACACATTATATTTTTGAATAATTCTTTCCTTAGTAAAAAGCCCTACACTTACGACACGCTTTTGTTAGTTTTTACATAGAGAATTTGTTTTTTCAGATATTACACAGCATTATATCGTAAACTGACAAATGCTGAGATATTCAACACAAGTCATTCCGCATTACTCTTCTCTCTTATATACAAGTCGTTAAAACAGGACAAGAATATAGATCGAGTGACGTCATTCATAAAAAGATTATTGCAACTCTGCTGTTATATGACACCCGCGCAATCTTGTGGCATGCTCTTTTTGGTGTCACAAGTGTTGAAAGATGGTGTCAAGAAAGATGCCATCAAATTAGTATGGAGTAAGAGAGATTTTAAAGAGGTATGTTTATTGTTGATAGAAAACACACAGACACAGATTTCTCAAATATATGTAAATTGATCTTTCTGCCTGTCCACCGCTGCTACTGACGTGTGGATGATCTTAAGGGTTCTCGTGGAAGATCAGCGCTGGGTGCTTCGATCAGAAGCATCCAGCATTTATAGCTGAGCGAAGACCCAATCCGGTCAGCACTGCATACACATTTAAATTATTTTGTTTGTCCTGTAATTACGTGTTCATTATTTATCCTTTTTTAATTACTTTGTTGTGTGTGTTTTTTTTTCTCTTATTCCAAATTGTGTTGTAGTGGTGATAAGATTAAATGTTATTTTATTTATTTAAACACACACAGCTTAAGTAACCAAAACTAGTATAGAAATGAGAAATTATGTTTAAATAGCTTTCGCCCGCGACTCCGTACGTGAAAATAAAAAACAAACAAAAGTAAGTAGCCTATGTCTTCTTCCAGACTGTCCTCCACATCTATACTAAATAACTATACGAAATCCGTTCAGCCGTTTAGGCTACAAACTCTTACAAACATCCATCCATCTAAATTTATAATATAATATTAGTATGATATAATGAAAATATTGTTTATTATCTAGATTTTTTAGAGTTAAAATTGATACAAACATTTGTATTTATATTTATTCATTTGTATGAAAAAAATATCCACTAACTTTAAGTTATAAATTCTTTGAATAATACTAACAAATGCTACACTTTATATTCGAAGCAAAGATAACTATTTTAAAGGTCTAAGAAACTTTAAAAATACTTTAAATTTAAAACATGTGTTAACTAAGGAATATAAAAATATTTAGTAGTATGTTGTAATTTTATTTTTTGAATCTTTATAGGAAATTAAAGACGAAGAAACAAAGACAGAAGAAGAAGGAACGAATACAGAAGATACAATAACAGAAGAACAGAATGAAACAGAAGTTAACGATACAATAAACGACACAATTGATTCTACGGAAGATAATAATGAAGTGAAAATAGAAAGCAAGAAAATCGATCTTCTTCGAGGCGATAAGAAAGATTTATTACTAGGTAAGTTTTTGTGGCTTATATCTTCCAATTTGAAGCCTAAATATTATCAAAAACAATCAAAGACAGCATTTTATACAGCAGAACCTCGATAACTTAAACCTCGGTAACTTAAAAACCTCCATAACTTCAAAAAATAATATGTTCCCTTCCCATCAGAGTTCAAAACCTCTACATCATAGACTCTTTCATAATTTAAAACCGCTATAACTTTATATTTTGTGTTTCCCTTGGACTTTGAGTTATCGAGGTTCTACTGTATTTTAGAAAAACACTCTTTCTTATATAATCCATATAATGTCACCTTGTTTGTTTCACAATTTAAAAAAAAAATACTTTTTGATGAAAATATAAAAAAAGTTATCGACTTGGTTAAAAATATCATTATTTAGCCTTAAGGCGGAATTCTGCAAACAAACATGTGAACTTTCGCATTTTTAATATTAACGAGCTTTTATACGCGACTCGATCCGCGTGCAATTACAAAAAAAAAAAAACAAAAGTGGCCTATGTGTTCTTCCAGATTATCTTCTATATTTATACCAAATTTCATCGAAATCCGTTCAGCCGTTTAGGCTACAAACTCTAACAAACATCCATCCATCTAAACGTTTGCATTTATAATATTAATTTCTTTCCAGATGATGATGAAGAGATGTATGTAGATTTGAAGATGGATGATGAAGGGAACATAAAACCGAAGAAGCGCAGAGCCGCTGCTGTCACTGCGGGCTGGTTCCACGCTAGAGTGAAATCAGAGGAAGATGCAGAAGATAAAGAAGGAAAGAAGAAGGAAGCAGCAGATAAAGAGATCATCGCTAAAATACAATTGACAAAAGCCGCTAATACTGATAGAGTGAGTTTTTTTATATCGATTATAAACTAGCTATTGCTCGCGACTTCTCTCGTGAAAATAAAAAAAAAGTGTAGCCTACGTTACTAAGTAATAACATAGCTTTTTAATGGTGAAAAATTTTTTGAAATCAGTCCAGTAGTTTATGAGTTATTACAATACATACAAAAATACAAATCTTTCCTCTTTATAATATTAGTATAGATAATACATAAACTACAAAATATTAAAAAGATGTTAAGACTGAATGTGGCTACAAAGATAGAAGACAGAAGAAAGTATTTATGGAATGTGTGAAAGATGTAAGAATCTTACTTCTTACTAATAGATGAGAAAGTATGGATGGATGTTAGAGTTTGTAGGTTTGTAGCCTAAAGTACTGAACTCGATGATTGTCATAGATATAGAGAATAGTCTGGAAGAACACATAGGATACTTAGGGCCTGTCCCACCAAATTATAAAATATCTGATAACTATCCAACTATCCAATGTGATGGAAATATCGGATTTTGTTACCTTATCTGACAGTGATGTCATGTTTAAGCTATCTGAGCCTCTATCAGCCGGTGGTGGGACACACTCTTACATTAGTATTTTTAGCTAGTTTTTTATATGTGTTTATAAATTTGCAGGTGATATCGGAATATAATCCATACGCCCGTAACCCAGCGTTTGCTGGCGCGACGTGTTCTGTTTATTTTGAATTACTACCTCTATTCAAACATTTCCATCCTACTGTTAAATTGTTTGCTGAGAAATTGTTAAATGGTATGTATTTATTTTCATCATCATCATCATCACCAGCTCACTCCCCCCACACTAAGTTAACCTAGGCCTTAGTAAATCCTCTGCGGGTTCACTTCACACATTTTTAAATTTCTTCTCCGATATGTGCAGGTTGTATGTTTTCCTTCCTCGTAAGAATAAGTAAATTAGGTACATTTGAAAATCTAAAATGACATTGGTACAGCGGGATTCGAACCCAAGACCTGTAGATTACAAGTCAAGTGCTTAACCCCTGAGCCTATGTTCTTATATATTTTACTATAGTAAAAATATTACAATATGGTTATTTTCTAGTTATGTATTTGAATAATCTATACTATTATAACAAAGCGTAAACACACATTTCTTTGTGGCCTAAGATGTCAGCAATTATAGCATATTTTTCAATAATTCTCTTTTTAATAAAAAGCCCTACATTTACGTCACACTTTAGGCTATATATTTTCACGCCATTAAATTTAGTGGTAAATATTTTGGATAAAAACCCTAATGTGGGAAAGAGACCATAATTTACGCTTGAAGAGACCTTAAGTTGCTGAAAACATCAAGGAATCAAGGTTGCCATCATGTCATGTCATTTTGGCATTTGGAATTGATAATTTGTCAAATGTAAACATTAAAATTATTTTTTTATAATTTTATGCGAATGAAGTCGCATGGGAACAGCTAGTATAATATATAGTTTTCTTAATTTACTAGAATAGAATATTAAAATTTCCTTTTTAATTTATTTAATTTGATTAAAATACTATTAAAGGAACATAATTAGTGTAAATGTGTCTTAATTATTTTTTTAAATTATTTCTATGTATATTTCAGAACAAATAGTACAATACAGCGGTGATCCCCTCAAAGATTTTGCTGGAATCAGATTTCTAGATCGTTTTGTGTTCAAAAACCCTAAGAAACGTGAAACTCAACAATACGGGGAAGTCAAAAAAGTCAAAGGATCACATCCTAAGTTTGCTATAAGAAAGAATTATTCCGCTAAAGGTGAGTTTTAATGTATAAAATAATTTTCATTATTAATACTAATATTATAAAGGGGAAAGATATTTTTGTATGTATTGAAATAACTCTAACAATTGGGCCGATTTCAAAAATTCTTTCACAAATAAAAAGCTATGTTATCATTAAGTAACGTCACGTGCGAAGTAACGTGCAACAGCTAGTGATATATAATTGTAATGAAAATATTATATAATTCAGTTCAAATCAAATATTTAAATTAGTAAAGGCCTTACCATAAAAAACTTGAATAGTGTTTTAAATACGTTTTAGATATATTATAAGTAGATTTTTGTAGTTTAAAGTTATTGTTATTTCTAATTTTTTACCGACTTCCCAAAAGGTACTCAATTCGTCTGTGTTTTTTTTTTATGTTACGGCATAACTCCGCTAGTGGACCGAATTTGATAATTCTTTTTTTATCCGAAAGGTAATGCTTGCAGGTGGGTCCCACCTTTTTGTTTGTTTTTTTTCATATAATATTTATTTATTTTCAGGTCTGAAAGCAATTCCGGTTAATTCATCGACATATTTAAATGAAGACGCAAAGAAAATACCAGTTGATGAAAAATTCTTATATGAGTGAGTTGTAATACACTTTTTTTGTTCTTCTCTAATAGTAGATTAACTTTAGTAGTCTAATAGTTATTTAGTAGTCCCTTAGATTGTACAAATGGGTTTTTATTGTTGAAATAAAAAAATCAGGAACTTCATATAACATCAATCTCTGTATAACGTCGAAACTATTCGACTTTGGTTGGTTTACTTTGTTTTCTAAGCGCATAGGAAGGGACATATTTACTTTCTATACTAAAACCTTTTTTTAATCAAAAAGATGAATGTAGATTTACTCTTCATTATGAGTCTAATTAATAACTCTGAGTGCGGTTAATCTTGTTAATTTTTTATCTTTTGTCATTCCAGTTTCCTCCAGAAACGTCGTGAAGCGAAGACATCTGATGATGAAGACAGTGACGCGGATTCTGTCACAAGTGAAGACTTTAATAAGTATTTGGACTCTGTGACAGGGAATAGAAGACAAGGTATGGATATAATCTATACTCCTATACTAATATTAGAAAGAGGAAAGATTTGTATTTTTGTATTTTTTTATTTATTGTAATAATTCAAAAACTACTGGGCCGATTTCAAAAATTCTTTCACCATTAGAAAGCTACGTTACGATGGGTAATGTAGCATATAGTTTTAAATTCCAAGTGGACAAAGTCGCGAATATTATGAAGAGGAAAGATGTGTATTTTTGTATGTATTGGAATAGCTTAAAAATTATTGGGCCAATTTCAAAAAATTTTACTCTACTTACTAATTTTTTACAATTTTTTATTCCACGCGGACGAGGTCGCGAGCAATAGCTAGTAAATAATAAAATTTATGTATTTTTTTTCAGATTCTGATGATGAACTAGATTATTTAGCGGAGATGGAAGCGTCTAAACAGAAACAAGGCTCTAAGAAGAAAGATGACAGTGATGATCAATTGGATGATGATGATGATGGTGAAAATGATGGAAATGACTTCGATGATGATGTTGATGAAGGTTTGTTTCTAAGTTAAATTTATGTTAAAAGACTAAGTAAGCATCTGGAATATTTAGTTTATTGTCTTTTGTACTTGTGGTCGCCTATTTATAGAAAAACTACCATAATTTATAATTAAAGTTTATTTAAAATATCTTTTTGTACTTCACATTAAGTTTAACTTATGACGTTCACTTGTTCCCGTAATTTCGTTAACGGGTACAAAGGTTTAGCTTCCACATATTTATTTATTTATTAAGATAAACTAACAGGACAAAATTATGACATATACATTTTTTACACAATACAATAAGTAACATGCAGATAATTTGTCCTAATTATAGGTTTACACGACATACATAGAAAAATAACAACAACAACAACAACAGTAGATAGAATATGTTTTTATCTATTTTTTTTATTGAACCCAAAAAGTAAAAATTAAATTTAAGTCATAGCCTTAGATATTTTTAAATGTTGGCCATTTGTTGAAGATGTCGATTATAGGCCTTTTATCTCTGGCTCCTTTGACGCACACAAGAGTTATGCAATATTAATATAGTAATGTCATCATCTCCCCTGCCTTATCCTACTCCCATAGTGACGCACCGGGTTTGCGTCCTCCAAATGACTCTATCATCTATCATCTCAGACATCACTCCCTTCTTCATCATGTCATCATCGACATCTTCTCCAACAAATGGCCAACATTTAAAAAATATCTACGTGAGGTTATCACTTAAATTTAATTTTTACTTTTTGGATTCAATAAAAAAAAGATAAAAACATATTCTGTCTACTGTTGTTACTGTTGTTGTTGTTGTTGTTGTTATTTTTCTATGTATTTCGTGTAAACCTATAATTAGGACAAATTATCTGCATCTTACTTATTGTATGGTGTAAAAATGTATGTGTCATAATTTTGTCCTGTTGGTTTATCTTAATAAATAAATAAATATATAAATAGATAAATGTCACCTTTCATGCAATCCATCCATCTCTTTCTAGATTTAATATAGTAATGTATTGATTAAAAAAATTAAAGTAAGTAGCCTATGTGTTCTTGTAGCCTTCTATATCTATGACAAATTTCATCGAGATTTATTCAGCAATTTAGGCTACAAACACTAACAAACATCCATTTAAACTTATTTATCATGTTAGTGAGATAACTAAGATATATTTACAGATGAAGGGGAACTCAATATATCTGGTGATGAAGATGAACCGGATTTATCAGCAGATGAGGATGGTGAGAAAATTACCAATACTGATAGAAGAGATGTTTTCTTAAAGATCAAAGTTGTACTTACATCTGTCGTAATATTTCCTTACATAAGATTAAACGTGGATGGTACGAAGATAGAAGATAGTATGTATGGATTGTATGAAAGAGGATATGCTTAAGGGACTGAATTCAGATATGACGGCTGATAGAAATGTATGGAAGTACAAACTATGCCGACTCTCTGTAGACATGTTTACTTACAAAATTCCCTAAAATAATGATGTATCCATATTTTACTTACTGTTAATTACTTTTATAATTTACCTTTTTTCAGAACTCCGCTTAGAAGGCAGTGATGATGATTTTAGTGATGGAATTGACAAGAAATCCAGCAAAAATAAACCTAAAATGAAACTAAAAGGTAAATATGTCAATATTAATGTAAATTCAATATCTCTTACGTAAATTATAGTATTTTCAAAATGGAAATTTTATAAGAAAACTCTTCACACATCAACACAAGTACAAGTATCAAACATAAAATTTAAAAAAAACAAAAGTTCTTTCTAATGTTGCTGTTGCTAAAGTGTTCATAAAAAATTATGACTTACAATAGTCGACGTAGGGTTTATCTATTTTTCGTTGTGAAAATTAAGAGATTTCATATTAGTAACGCTAATTTTGTTGATTTTTTATTTAATTTTTAAGTATTGAAGGGCCTCATTTACTTGTACGTAAAATAATGCCCGAATCAATTACACACATTATTTTAATGCTACAGATATTAAATTGTTTTTACTTTAAACTGGATAACACAATATAATTACAGGTAAAGATGATCTAGGATCGTTATTCGCGTCAGCAGAAGAATTCTCCACTCTTCTAGAAGAAACCGCAACAAATAAAGGACAAGGTTCAAGCCAAGCCGTATCCAACACTGACAATGCTAGTACAAAACAATTAGCCTGGGAACAGAAGAGGGATACCTGGATAAAGGGATATAACAGAAAAATACTTGGCAATAAAAAACATGGAAAGAAGAAATTCAAAAATGGCCGAGACTTCAAGATCGCGGAAAAGGGCGCAAAACGAAAAGGCGGCAACGATGGCGGTGCTGGCGGGAAAAGAAAGAAGAAATAATTGCTTGTGTGTTATCATAATTTTATAAATAAAGTGTAGCACCATTTATTTGAAGTTTTTTAGATATTCAACTAACCGTTGGTAAAAAAAAGTTTTTTCATATACTGTCCGTAAATATTACAAGAAGTACCCATCCTTGTTTCCTTATCTTGTAAATATTTATCCTGACAGTAAAAATAGGTTTTAAGAATGGTTTATGTTCTGCAGTATATATGATTTGCACAAATATTTCGTGATAATTTCTCTTTTAATATTTTGATACAAGCAACAAAAGCCTTTTTGCCATGTAAGGTCGTAACATGCTAAATATTCTAATATAATATCCTATATCAGTTTCTAACCAATCCGACGTATTTCAAGGGCAAACGCAATAATGTGACCTTGACACATTTGCCTCACAAAAGATGGCGGTGGTCGCTAACGAATAATGAAGTTTGTGCAAAACTAAAATAGACCGAAACGTGAGCTCTACGCGTTTCAATTTAAAAGAATCGCTGTAAAACATAACTCGTATATGCGATAACGAATTACAAGTTTACGGTGACCTTCCGTGATAACTGTCACAACGCCATTCCCGCCTTGAGAAAGAAAAACAACACAATTCCTTTTTTATTTTGAAGGGGGAGTTAAATTAATCATAAAACAATTGAAATCGTTTTTAATCGATCGGTCCGAACTAACAACAAATAAGTAAAAGTATTTTTCCTTGCTCTATCTGCCCAACGGACACAAAATGATCGGAACTGTTTGTTGACATTAGTACGTCATACGGCCGTGTTGTAGACCGCTCTACCGAGTCGCATCTCGCGCTTTTAAAATAAATTAACTGCATTTACACATGAAATTCACGAAACACCTGTACAGTGAAAGCGTTAAAGTGTATCATTGACATTGTTGGATTGAACGTAATACGAACGGCGAAGTTATTGTGAATGAACAAAAAGAGCGGGGAAAATCTGTGCAAATGTCGCTTGTTCGGCTATTTTTAGCTGCACACACAGCGCGATAACCATGTTTTAGACATATTTGTGTGTTAAAACAAGAACTTAATATAATTTTCGAATGTAAAGTAAAGCAATTTTGATATTATTTAGTTTTAAACGCTGAATTGACTTATTAGAAAAGCAAAGGCGCCTAAACACGTTTGACAGATCGTAGACACACACATAGAGAGAGCCGGCGAACGGCGCATGTGTGCGTTAACACACCGAAGTGATGTGAAATTGTTGCGCTTATCGATTAGTAAGATAATTTCAAGGACATTATTGTACAAGTCTTGCTTATTATATATGAACATGAATATCTTAAGTAAAATATGATATATTGACATTGATATTTCTATATTTTGAATTTTATAATGGAGTCGTTTAAAGATCAAGTAAAAAGTTTTGACAATGAGACTAGTCGTCAGCTAGCAACAGGTTGCGATGTAGGACTTTCTGAAAATTTAAAGGGATCTGATGCTTTTCTCACAAGTATTGACAATGTCTCTATAATTGGAGAAAATGTTGTTATTGAAGGTAGAGATTTATCGCTAGAAACAACAAACATCGGTCCAAATGAATTAGGCCACCCAGACATGGAAATACCTAAAATTCTTGATTCGCCAATGCCAGAGTATAAACTCATACAAGGTCAAAACATTGTCGCAATACTAGGGGAAAATAGTTTAAACGCACAATCAACTTCAAACGTTGAAGAGAGATCTTTTGACGTACAAAAACCGAAAACTTTAGATGTACAGACGCCAGAAACTTTGCAAGCACAAAAACCAGATACTCTAAACATAAAGATACCAGAATCACCACAAAATCAAGGACCAAAATCACCACCGATATCAGATACTCCAAAAGTAACTGAAGATCAAGAAAAATCTAAACGTCATCAACTTCTAAAACTAACACTGACAAAGAATAAAGACGATGTTTTCGTAAGACCCTCGCCTATAGCAGAGGTTATGTCTCCCGCCAGAATGCTACAATTTGAAATGGACGTAACGACTAGCTCAACGCCGACAATGAAACGTGCAGCTATAGATTTTAATTTTTTCAACAAAAATAACTTTGAAGAATATTTTACTGATGTACCTACCGCTAACGAAACGGCGAAAACCGAAGAAGAATCGTTCATAGAGACACCGGTTATTGTGAAAACAGATACTATACGGCATGAAATTGGCTATGGTAAGTTTAAAAAAAAAACGATTCATTTGAAACACAACAGCTGTAATTTAAAATATTTTTTTTTAGCAGGTGACCACGAAATATTTCAGGTAAAATTCTGTCTTGTGTTTTCGTCTTTAGACATTGATACCGCTAATTTGTTGGAAGGAGAAACTTGTCCATAATAGAAGATTTAGGTAAATTAACCATTCATTGTACCAATATATGGAACTTTTGTTAATACAGCGCCTGTGGATTTTTCGTTTTTACCTGAGAACCATAAAAACGGATAACTATAAAAACTAAAATTACCCATGGCAGTCATAATGTATGCAAGAATTGCGTTTAATTTTAACGGAAAAATTTACATATGTAGAATTACTAGTTACTTGTATACAGAACATGTTGTACGCATTTTTCCTTGTCTTGCTGGATCCTTTATTTTAAATTTGATCCATTAAAGCTGAGGTCAATTTACATTGGATATGTAATCCCCGAAACTGTCGATTTCAATAAAAGACAATGAGATAACCTTTTATCTTTGCATTAATTCAATTTGTTCAGTTGTTCTTCGATTTTCTATATTAAGCTGAACTCACGTAATTATGAAATGAATGAATGAAAAATGTTAGTATCATTATAAATATTAAAGTTTAGATGGATGGATGGATGTTTGATAGAGTTTGTAGCCTAAATGGTTCAACGGATTTCGATGAAATTTGGTATAGATACAGAACATAGGCTACGCACGTTTATTTTTTAATACTACGCAGATGGAGTCGCGGACGAAACCTAGTTAGTTTTATATTATTAATAATACTTTAACAGCGATTTTCAATTGTATTATTTGAAAAAGAACATTATTGCTGTCTGTTTAATACAAAGAAAAATATAGAGATAGCAATAATATGTTACATATATTCCAACGTGGAAAGTCACCGTAATATTACATACATTTATGTAAAATAACTGATAACAAAGCGAAATTGGCAAAACTACGGACACCGCGAACTAATCTAACAAATGGTAAGTAGTGTATATTGATTTTTGTACACTGCGGTACTCGAGACTTGAAACTCGACTCGACTTTTCTTTAAAATTACTTGCTCCAGATAAAAAACAACTTATTAAACCACTTTGAAAACTAATTTCAATTCAGTGGTAATATGATTAGATTATTTGCTAGTTGTAAACTTTATGAAATAAAAGGTTTTGAAAGAGGAGTGTTTCATTCTTTACTTCTTTCAAATGCTAAAACGTTTGAACGTTGTTAAGAACGAGGACTAAATAATCTCCTTTTGAAATTTCTATTTATAAATTGATTAACAATAATATCGTATGATTTTTAACCAAGTTTAAAAACAAGGAAATAAATCCTCTGTAAGTTACTTTGCCCTGATTTACAGATTATAAGGATTGTTTTAGTCGAACAGTAGTGTTTATTTTATTGATTTTTGATAATTCAAGTTTATATCTAATAATCTAAAAATCTATAATCTTTAAAGATAGTTCGTGGTCCAGTGCCTCCCGTATCTAGTACACTCCAGCGACCTTGAAAAGGTCATCGGTCTATCTTGCTGCGACGACGTTTTTGTGACTGGAACTCCAGGATATTTCAAGATATTCCAAATACCTGTTAAGATTTAGTATCACGCAGAGTAAATTCTAGAAAACACATGAACTGAATGGCTAACTTTATTTCAAACTATTATCCATAGCATTAATAAATAACATTTATAAAATTAAAGAATTCTTTCTTTGCTGGTAACTTTATCAAGAATCGAGTAATGTTTTGAAAACATCCGTCGGTTAAGACGTGATACTTTTTGCTTTTCTGTTGTAAGCGCGAAGGTCGATCATACTTCCGCGATTTCAGTAACCTTCCGTATCAGTAAGGAATTGCCACTTAAAGATTTTAAAATGATCTGGATGAATTTTCTAAAATGTATTTCTCAAAATGTTATTGATGGTAAACATTACCTTTAAAATACGCTTCCACTGCCGAAAGTTCATTATAAGTAACACTTAAAACTATTCTATTGTCTGATGGCCTAATCGTTAATGATTTAATTTTAAAAACATCAGTCGATTATGATGTTTTCAGGCCTAAAAGTCAAACTGGTTCAGTAATGATAATTACCAAATCAGCATAATAAATATCGATTCTTATTACCCACGACACTTGTAGGAAAACATATTGACATCCTTTTAATTCTTCTAGAAAAAACTGAAATAGCAATACGTTTTAGTACGGGCGTTAAGACAGTGGATCTTGTTGTATAGTACTTCTAATTACCGATTTACAATATTAAACACCATGTCATCTGTATTTTCAATATTATTTTTTTTCGGTTTATCGATAAAAATAGATTAAACAATTTTACAGAAGACATTTTAGGCCAAATATCAAATAACATATTAGACAATATTTAACTAACTTCAATTTCAGACACTTCGGTTTTTACTTTAGAACAAGACAATAAGTCACATTTTATTGAAGATCAGTAACATCACTATAATTATAACATTGAAAAAGTATTAGTTAACACAGTTTTAAAACTGTTGTTATGCCATTACATTTTCTGTCTCTTTCTACTCGATAGATAACCAATGCTTTTGTCTCTTTTTGTTTACGTCCATGAAATGGTTACTCCATAGTACAAGTGCAAATACAAGCAAGAGCAATTTCTTTTTACTCTTTCAAGCATTATGATGTAAAGTTAGAATGATATTCGAATCATTTTATGTTCTAAAATTACGACTGAGTACAAATTGTAATAAAGAACTAAAGTCGTAATGAGTAGAGATTATAAATTTGTCTCTACATTTTACATGTACTGTCTGGCCTCGTAAACCGTTTTGTAGAGGGGGAACCTCCGCTCGCAAGTTGCACGGTTTCTATTTTGCGTTTCTCGAATTCAGTTACTTTATCGCGTTGAGTGGGGCGTCTCATTCGCGCGAGCATTTTTAATTTATATTAATATAGTTATATTTAATTTAAATTTTATAAGACAACCGGACCACTCGTATGTAGTTAGTGATAAGTAGAAAGTGAGAAAAGTATAATCTAGAATTAATGGTGAAGGAATGATATGACAGTGTAGTGAATATTTTCAGTTTATGCAAACATCTGGATTGACGTGATCTTGTTGTGGAAAATCAGAAAAGGAACGGCTGTGATTTTTTATGATAAAAAGAAATAATACCCATTTATAAAACTAAATATTTGACATCTTAACCGAGTGAAGATAGCCGCGAGTTATATTTGTGTCGGTGGAATTACGCAGGCATTTCATAGTTCGCGTGTACATTACAGTTATATTGCCATTCAATTTAGTCGGGTAATAGCCCGCAGCCGCGCCATCTGCACCAAGTCGTACGAAGTGAACATCGCGCACGTCACAGTACGAGTTTGAGTTTGCTCGCGAAATTTTACGTGTCGTGTTTACTTTCGCTGTAGTAACGTTACGATTAGTTTGAAATATAATTGACTTGGAAATATATAACTGTACACGCATAAAACTATTGACAGATGTGTAAAAAGTGAAAGTTGTCGTGTGACCTTTGGGGGTGTGTGAGAGTCTACATGGTTTTGGGGGGTTAGACCATGGCGACCGCCGAAATGAGCCTGCCTGACAAGAAACCGGAACACGAGTCGGGATATTACGAAGGCAGCGATCAGGAGGGTAGCATGGAGTGCGGTTGCCCCTCTCCAGTAAGCTCTAGAAACTCCTCGCACTCTACGAAGCTGAAGCGTCGGCACAGCGCCCATAAGCACAAGAAGGCTCCTCAAAAGAAGCTTCGTAACGAACATGTAAATGGATGTATGGGTAATGGCCATGCTGGTAACAGCGTGGAAATAATAGAATGTTCCAGTCTGTCTGTAAAAGATGTGAATAAAGCCGTTGAAGCCGTCCCAGTAGCAGGTCCTAGTAGCAAAAGAAGCAGTTCTGTAGAACTGATCGGAGGAACAGTGCCTGCCCCGGCTAGAGACTCCGTAGATTGGAATTTGGTGTACGCCAGTAAAATAAGGAAAAGAAGCAAAGGTCAGTCAATTTGTACTCTAAACATTTTAAACCATGTTATACAATTATTATTCTTTTGAATTACAATTATGTTTAAAAACTTGACTTATAATTTTGTTGAGGGTCTCAAAGTCATTAAAACACACATTAGTCAAGTTAATGATCCTTAACTAATTAAAAGTATAATAAAAAATATTACAATGAAAGTAAGGAGTTTTAAGAAACAATGTTGTTTTAATTTAACAGAATAAGTAATGTAATAAACATGTAATGTTTTATTTATTTAAAAAGTAACATTTTGGCGATTTATTCACATAATTGAAAATAAACTTTCCTTTCCCGGCTTTGAATGCATAATTTTTTTTAAACATAATATAGAAAATTTAAATATACTCTCAGTACTCAGATATAATGCAATATTGTAATGGTAAAAGGTTTTTTTTTTAAATCTAGTAGTTTCTACTCTAATTACAAATGTAAAGAAAGGAAATATATCTGCTTTCCTATATAAATGGTGCATATATTAAAAATATTTTTATGAACTATTTATTTTGAAAAGTTGCTGCAAGAAAATATCAAAATTTGACTGCAATGCATCTTTTACCAAATTACATAATATAACATTTCAAGATGCAATAACCAATAAAAAAAATCAAGTCAAGTCATATGTACACTAACAAAGAAATATCATCAGTTACATTTTTCAGCAGGAATTAATAAATATTTCGTCCTAATTTGCATAAATATAAAAGAGAGTACACTTGTATCACCTTGTCTTGTAAACCACATTTTATTCACTTCTTTAGTAAGAAAAAGATAAAAAAAGTCCAGAATAAATTCTCTCAAACATCTTTCTATGCATAAGGACATTTATAAAACTCATTTTCATGTAAGCTCCATGGTACAATTTTAATATTTGTATAAGAGGAATGTTTGATTAATATAAAGAAAATAACTGAGTAGGTTAAATTCAGGAGTGAATTTTATTTTTTTTACACATCTATTGATCAAGAAGGGAGTGATGACTGTGATGATGGATGATAGAGATATTTGGAGGACGAAAACCCGGCGCGCCAACCCTACGGGAGTAGGATAAGGCAGGGGAGATGATAGTAGTGTAGATTTCTAAATTTCTCAGACATACAGTATAGAGTGTGCACCTCTATGAAAATTAATTTAACATCTAAAATAAAATAGGGTCCTTCAAGAAATGAGCATATCTCTCTTATAGGCCAGCAACATATCTACAATTCTTCTCTCTCCAGTTGTCTTCTGCCTCAATTTTGTTGATATACTCTTATATTGAAAAACAACCTTTTTAGAAAAACTTTATCCACCCTATTCTATGGTTGACTAACTGTTGCTAGTGACATCGTCTATGTCTCATAAAAAATAGTAAAAAACATAGCCTATGTTACTCAATAATTACATAGCTTTTTAGTGATGAAAGAATTTTTGAAATTGGCCCAGTAGTTTTTGAGTTATCCCAATACATACAAAAATAAAAAAATATGATAAAAGCAATCAATACAATTCGCATTTGTATTTTGCACCCTCTCGTTTTTTATTTCGCACCCCGCTTAGTCGCGACCCCATTTAGAGAAACCATCCTTTATGTAATTCGTAAAGTGTACAGATTTGGTTTACATTTAAAAAAAGTTTTAAGATAAATAACAGAAAGCATTTGTAGAAGATGACCTTCTCCCTGTTATTATCCTATTTATGGTTGGCGCAACAGGTTTTCGTTTCTCCAGATTATTATATTTTGTCAACTTAGTGGTCACCACCTTGATCATGTCACCTGTCACACAATCCATCCATCTCTTTCTAGACCTACCTCTGCCAATGTTCATTCTAACCTTTTACTTCTTGTTTTCTCTAACAATAATATTTTAAAACACCATCTGTTAGAATATTATGAAATTAATAATCCTTTCTATACATTAAGTTATTTCTTAATTATCTACACTAATATTGTAAAAAGGAAAGATTTAGATTTTTGTATGTATTGAAATAAATTAAAGACTACAGGGCCATTTAAAAAAAATATTTCACCATTAAAAACCTTTGTTATCACTGAATAACATGTGCAGCCTTTTTTGTTTTTCTTTTATAATTCAATGTAGACAAAGTTGTGAGCAGCAGCTAGTATTTTATGAATACTTTGTTGTTGTTTGCGACACCCCCTGCATGATATTAGAGAATAAAAAATAAAATGTGGCCTATGTTACTGATAGCTATTTAAAAGTGAAAGATTTTTTTAAATCAACCCAGTAGTTTTTGAGTTATTTCAATACATACAAAAATACAAATCTATCCTCTTTATATATTAATATAGACAATAAAAAACATAGATAGGACTCCAAAAGCACGTTCTGCTCTTGATTGAAAACTATTTAACTTAACATGTTAAGGTCAGAGGTAATGGTGCAAGTGTCCTATACCACAGGGTAACCGCGATAAAACACCCCAGTCTTATCACCTTGGTGGTGTATTTTTTGTCTGATAATAATATGAATGTAGAAAAATTATTGGTCTCTAGAACTATAGTTGTGTCTGAACTTAATTGATTTTTTAAACTACAAGCTATTGCTTACGATTTCTTCTGCGTGTAATTACGAAATAATAAACAATATCCTATTTACTCACAGATAAATTACCTTTCAAACAGTAAAATAATTTTTTAAATTGACCCAGTAGTTTTTTAGTTACTTCAATACACACAAAATACAAATCATACCTCTTTATAATATCAGTGTAGACTAGTTTGCCTGCAATTCGGTATGTATGAAAAAGCTAGAAACTGACATAAATATAGTATAATGTAGCTTGATAATGACAAAATAAGGTTTAAAATCGCTTCAAAAGTTCAATTTGTTACATACAATACAAATCTTTCCTTCCTTATAGTATCTGTACAGATTAACTATTTATTTTGTAAAAGGATAATGAATGAGTTAAGATTTACAAGAACAAACATATACTGTAAGGCTACTACTGCCATTATAATTACAAAAATGCTTGAAATAGCACACACAACACAAACTCTTATTTTATCCACACAAAGGTCACTTTAACTATTAAACAGTAAATGAAATAAAATTATAAGAATGTAAATGAATAATTTTAATAGCAATGTAATTAATAATACTTCATACTAATATTATAAATGCGAAAGTTTAGATGGATGGATGTTTGTTAGAATTTGTAGCCTCAACGGATGAACGGATTTGGATTAAATTTGGCATAAACATAGAAGATAGTCTGGTAGAACACATAGGCTACTCAGTTATATTTTTTTTATTCGCTATTATTTCAGAGATTGTAAGAGTATGTGTGGCCTCTGACATTATATTAAGTATATATAGTATAGATATAATTTAAAACATAAAATCAATGTAATCACTGGACAATAAAACTTTGGTATGATGTTGAGCACACATTCGTGTTTCTTAACTTTTTAATTTTTGTTTCTAAAGAAACTTTTTGCTTGTTCTATGATTGGTCTAATTGATGTAGTTAAGAGGTACAATTTAAAAGTTTTTCTGTTTGTCAGACCTAATGCTACACAGTTAAGCTAGCTCGTAATCTAGAATCTAGATATACTAGTTTTGTCTAAATCTAAATACTTATAGGTTTACATGAGGAACCAATCCACCATTGTTATTTTACGACGCGACAATTTCTTGGCTTAATATTTGATTACAAGAAAAAAATTATTTATTATACAAATATTTTTTAACTAATGATTTAATAGGAAATAGGCTAAATCTTAACGCAAATCTAAAAACTTTTATTAAATTTTGTTACTGATATCAATGATGATATAGTTTTGTACTCCATTTCTATGGTTTATTAGTATTCTAAAATTATAATTTAAAAACAACATTGGTAAAGTACTTGACACAATATTAAACACCTCCATGTTAATTATCTAGTAATATTTGCCACGCGACTATCGTGTGCTCAAATACTTCCGCGTAGTAATAAATATTTGTTTCATATTTAAATTAACCTTTGTACTAACTTAACGTTCAAAGTTGTTATTCTTTTTAGAGGTACAATCGGGGAATCTGGCGGTGTTGCTTTAATGCTTTGAACGTTTTGTACAATTTGAAAGACGATGCGAAATATTAACTAAAAGGAATGCTTTTACATGTCTACGACAATCTGTTAGTGGTACACAGCTGATTGCATTTTATTATAAAATACAATTGGATAATTCAATTTCATTTCAACATACTGCTATCTGGTTTTTTGTTTGTTTATCTTGTTGCTAGAAATAAAGCAATAAACATGGTAGGACCATGCTTTTGAATACTCTACTATTAAATTAAGAACTATCTCATAAATGATAGAAGTAAATTATGTAGGGCTTAAAATGTGTTACCATTTCAGTTACAAAAATAGTTATCTATGTTCTTTTAAAACAAATGAATGTAATATGTTGGGGTAGATATGTTATGAAACAAGTGTTACATTAAAAACCCAGTTTATGTCGAACAATATTTTATATCTATATATTGATATTGTATATAATTATATCTGATATCTGTAGCCATAAGTAATCATACTAACATAACGTAAACAACTTCCTCAAACTTGTAAATGTCAATTAATGTAGATATTACATAATATGGAATATGTTTGAAGATATTTAGTTATGTTTAAAACTGTTTGTAGGTAAATGTAATCTGTTTTAAGAGAATTTTCATATAGATTTGCAGATTGATAACAAAAAAAAGAAATTAAAATGGACTACAAAAGTAGAGATAAACCAAAGTATGTAGGGATTGTGTGAAAGATATGTGTATGTAGTGAATACAGATATGATGGGTGACAGATGTATGGAAAAGTACATACTTTGTAGACCCTCGGTAGAGAAAAGGGCAGGTTTATGATTTAATTATATTCATGTCTATTTAAAGTGGTCAATTTCTGATTTTAACGATACTAGAAGTGGTAGCTTGCTAGTATTCTAGCTTCTTCTATTATAAAAATTATAATCTTATTGTCCTTATGTCATATATCCTCGAAGTGGGGCAGAGGGCGTCCACAGTGCGCTGCTAGCTCGCTATATCCTGGGCTCTGCGTTTTGTCCCGGGTCATGTCAACTTAATTGCTTTCATGCAATTATAATGCAATGGTTTAATATGTTTTTTTATGTTTACACTTATTACACTTGTACAGTCTGTAGATTTATGTATGTTAAGATGACTAATATTATTATTTTGTTGCAGTTAATCTGAATGGTGCATCAAAAGTGGATATATCACATTTTGATTTACTCAAAGTTCTCGGTACTGGAGGTGAGTGCGTTTTAATTAATTTTATTTGACTTAACATATTATTGTATCTCTATCAGGTAACCTCAAGTATTTTTTAAAAGCAAATGTACATCTTTTTTACTATTATGATTTATCTAAACCTCTTGTATAGAGCTAGTCAAGTTAGATAGAGGTTGTTCCGGTGTGTGCCTTGGAGATACCGGAACCTTCGTCTATGTCACTACAGGATGGCCACCAAGGGGGTTTTAGTAGATCAAATCCTAGATAACCCTGCCTTCCCCTCAGAAGGCAAGGTATCTTTTGAAGAATTCTCCCCCAACATCAAAAAAAAATATATAACATTAGCTTGCATACACATTAAGGTTACTTAATTTGTTAGGTAAAGTTTAGTATGTATTTAAGTGATGCGTAAAAGCCAATAACCCAGTTAAAATATTTAATTAAATTTAAATATGTTAAAAATTGTGTCAAGGTAGATTTAATCTGTGAAAGATGGTAATATTATTTTGTGTACTAAACAAAAACTGCATGTCCTCAAATTGTTGCCATATTAAAAAAGGTACATAAGTTGACTGCAACTAACTATAATTATTTAAGTATGGATAATATATGAAAACACATAATTTTATATGATTTTTTTTAAATTACGAACTTATCCGGTTGTAATTGCTATAAATATATCACATTGTATTGTAATATCTAAACTGTTTATTTGATAAACTGCATAGTTCGTGTTGTAACATATGTTACACCCTAGTGTAAGCCTTTACGTAGTACATTAATAAGCACCACTGTTAGAGGCATCGTTTACGTAATAGTGTATTGTTTTGTATTGATGATGTTATTGGCATATTGGCATGTCAGTCGCAATATATCTGATTAAGCTATTCAACAGATTTTGTACATAACAATTTTACTGGTTAAATTTTGTTATTGATAACAAATTCGTGGTTGAATTGTATGGGTATGTTTTGTTTCCAATGGAAACGTTTTAGTCTTGTCCTCCTTAGTAGCCTTATTAAGAAACTATTATATTGTTTCCTACGTAAACTATCGTAACTGAAAAAATCAATTTAAAAGTTTTGAATATAGTGCAATTAAATTTAACCATGTAACTTCAGTTTTTATTAACTACTATCTGTTTCTCGGGACTTTGTCTACTTTTTTACAAAAATAGTATCAAAACATAGCCTTCCTAGTGTTAACGCGTTTAAATGGTGAAAGAATGTTTGAAATCGGCCCATTAGTTTTTGAGAATTTAGTAATATGTAGAAAAAAACAGATCTTTCCTCTTTATAATATAAGTATAGACTAGTTGTTACCGTGCGACTTCATCGGCATCAAATTATTTTATTGTTTAAATTTGTCAAATTATCAATGTCAAAGTGACATAACATGATGACACCCTTGCTTCCTTGATTTTGGCAGCAATTTATGGTCTCTTTCCCACATTAGAGTTTTTATCCAAAATATTTACCCCCTAAGTTTAATGGTGATAAAATATATAGCCTAAAGCGTGACGCAAGTGTAGGGCTTTTTATTAAAAGAAGAATTATTCAAAAATATGCTGTAATTGCTGACATCTTAGGCAACAAAGAAGTGTGTGTTCACGCTTTATTATAATAGTATAGATTGAGTAATATAGTATTTATGTGTATGTAATTAAGTAAAAGTATATAATCAAGAGTAAAAACTAAACAATTGATACTAAATCAAACCATAAGACGAATAGAGTTCTCTTAGTAATTTAAATGTAACTGATTTCGTTAGATTTCGTTTCGCAAAACCCACTGGAGTTCCGAAATAACATACGCTCGTCACGAAGACGAAATAAAGACAATGCATTCGCGACAATAAAAAGCGACCGCTATGCATGTGTAACAATGCTGCACGGTGCATTGCCGGCCGTGTGGTAAGGGCGATGACCTGGGAACACGTGCTTAGGATGTCCGGGATGAGGGTAGTAAATAATTTTAAGACGTAATTGGTATTTGATTTTATAAGGACTATGTATAGTAATAATTGTGGTAAAAACAATAAAACGCTAATAAAATCATACTAATATGTAACAGTGTATTTACGAAGCGTTTACGAAGCAAATTGTTTAAGATTCGCCTCGTCCATTTCCGCGCCGTTACGAACGACCAAACACGACCGTTAACTCTGAAGTATAATTGCTACATGGCAAATCCCTCTAGCGTCCCATGGTAAAGTATGTAACCCTCATTTCCTTGTTTTTTTAATTAATTTGAACCGTTATGATTCCCTGGCTATAATTTTTTCAGTCGAGGAATAGTTGATACCAAGTTCTTTATTTTTATCTATTCTGTAGTTATTAGTAATTCATAATTTTTCCTTAACTAGCTAAAACTCAAAATATTGTCAGATGTTACAATAAAATTTCATTTAACAAGGTACAAACCTTTTCTGATATCCGAAGAATACTCTACCATTATTTTATTTATAAAATTAATTATATATTTTTTGTTCATATGTCTTCTCTAATAGAACACCTGTTAAGATGTGTGTAATAAATTCTAATTTTTTTTATATTTGTATCCGCATAGTTCATATCTATTACAAAACTTTTTACTAGTAATCGTGTGAATATTCTCAAAGTTGTCATAATTGTACACAGTAAGCTATTAATATAAAAGGGTTCTCAATTCCTCAACCAACAAGGGCGTTGCGATATACTGATCGACAGGACGAGGGGGGTTAGTAATTTTTCTTGACTATGCTTAAAACACGCGGTTTTTGAGTTATCTATGTAGGATTTTAGGCACCGTAGTATTAGGACATTTTCCGTGTGATTAGGGGGGGGGGGAGCTAAGTAATTTTTAATTTCTATTTATACTGACCGTTACTCGCGTGAAATAAAAACAGCCTATGATACTGATAACGTAGCTTTTTAATGGTGAAAGAATTTTTGAATTCGGCCCACTAGGTTTTGAGTTAATTAAATACATACAAAAATACGAATCTTTCCTCTTAATAATATTAGTATAGATTTAAAATACTAGATTTTGGTATTTTTTGACATCTCATTAGCTAGGCTTAGTTACAAGCAGGAAATGAAAATTAATAAAATTCCAATCAAGTTTAGTAACTCGGTTAATTTTCTTAAGAAATCCTCACAAAATGTTACTTTCGCAACGTTAAGGATTGAAATAACTCTGCAAAACTCGCAGAACAATCAGCCGGGGTTGAGCTTTAAGGTCACGTGACATTAGTAGTAAACAATTGTGGGTTTGAGTTCGGTTTCAGCACGTGTATGTATGGCGTGTCACGTGCAAGGACTTGTGTTTGGTTCATAGATTATAGATGCATGTCTCATGTAGAACATTCCCGTAGGTAAGACACGAAAACATATGCAAGATATTGACATAGAGTAATAAGCTTGCCGGAAATAGATGTACAGATTGCTGGTACATTCTTTGATGGTTTTACAAGTTTTGATATTAATTTTGCTTTTAATCCTATCAAAATCTTACTAATATCAAATGCGAAAGTTTATATCGTTGGATGTTTGTTCAATTTGTGTTCTAAATGGCCGAGTGGATCAGGATGAAATGTAGCATAGATATAGAGCAAAGTCTGAAAGAACATATAGGCATTAGAACACGTGTCGTGGCAGGCGAAAGGTAGTTGATAATGAAGATAGGTAAAAACTGTTGAGTCTAACGCACTTGGAAATACCAATTAAGAAGTCCTCAAAAAGCATCATGTTCTAGCATAAAGCATACTGCCGTATAGTCACTTAATGGACACTAAGGGACAACGTAAGTAACAATTTAACGTCTCTGATTAGTAGTTAAACATGTTACTATGTAGAGAAAGCCTTTGATTTCCGCTACCGAGCGTCAGATGTAAACGTGACTGGTTGTTAGCACGTGGGGAAGCTGTTTACGTAGATTGGACGATGGGGGGCATGAGGAAGGGGGAAATAAGGGGATTGTGAAGTCACGTGACCACAATTAGCCAAGCGAGCTTCGGTTTAACTATTGTTTTAGCGTATAATGCGGTATGATTTGAAAGGGTTATTTACGTCTTGAAATTATATGCGTGGAATTAAATAGATAATATAAATAATACCAATTTTAAAATGTATTGACTGAAGAAGGTATGGATGGATTGTGTGATAGAGGATATGCTTAAAAGGGAGTGGATTCAGATATGACGGCTGATAGAGATGTATGGAAGAGCAGCACATACTGTGCCGACCCTCCACAAGGGATAAGGGCAGGATGAATGTATCTGATTATATTATCAGCTTTTAGTTTTACGTTTCACTTAATTTACATAGTAATGGTTTATAGACTTTTTAAATTGCTACATATGTTTTGCGCTACCTTTAACGCAAGAATAGTTGCATAACATAGGTTGTTTCTTTCTTTAATCAATAAAGGAGCGAGACAAATGCTTGTCTCTATTTACTTTTTGTTGAAATGCTTTAAGTTTTAATTGTTCTATGCACCATTTCAATATCTTTAGCCTACGTATAAATAACGTGACCAAAGGAGGCAGAACAAATTATTGACGTATGACTTTAACGTTCCGTCATTTATCGTCATCGTGACGGACGAAGTATTTTATGAAAACGTACATGTTTACGTCTTTAATAATCATATCGTCTATCGTCAATATTATCGCATAATAACAATTTGTTGATGTGCTTTGCGTACTTGTGACGCATTGAAATTATTCGTTCTGCTATGTAACGAAAGGGTGACGTTTGTGATTTAAGTTATGTATGTAATATGTAAGAATCGTTAGTTTTCTATTAATTTTGGTAAATGTTTGATAATCCCTGGAACAGGTGGACCGATTTGGACGGGATTCTGACTGATAGATGATTTTTTTTTAAATCTGCGCTAACGAAGTTTGCGGGCGACAGCTCGTATACATATAAAATTGGAGTGCCTGTTTGTAATTTCAATTACAGATTTACAAATTTCGGGAAGATGATGTATTTGCCTTGCTGAAAACGAAAATCGCATTTAATTTTTTTTGCAGTCTGT